GCCGCTGGGGGAGCTGCGGGCGGGCGGACGGGGGTGATAGAAGGACCCCAGGTCCCGCAACGATGGGAAGAGGCCTGCTTCCCCGGGAAGAACTGGGGCTCCAGCTTGGCTCTGCACCGCCGCGGACGCTGGGCGCGTTCGCGTTGGACAGAGTGGGACGCACGTCTGAGGACTGCGGTGGCCTCAGGGACTGTCGGCACGCCGTGGACAGGGGCCGAGCGGCGTGCGCCCGAATGGGAAGGAGTCGGGGTCACCAGGGCCGAGCGCCCGCGGGGACGGAACTGGGCACCAGGGGACCAAAGCCCGAGTATCCAATCCGGGCAGCGCGCGAACCAGGGGTCAAGCTCTTCCACCCAGGGGCGGGGGCTGAACCGGAAGTGCGTCACGGATGGGCGGGTCGCTCTCGCCCGACCCTACGTGGCGCTCTAGGGTTCGGAGACGCGTTCCGTTGCCGGGGAGACGGAGGCTGCGGATGCCTGGGAGTCTGTAGGCAGCATCTTTGACCACCCCGGCCCTTGGGACGCTGAGATGAGGCGTGGTCAAGGCAACTCTTGTAAAATCAAAGTAACGCCAGTGCAGGGCTTTAATTCACGCAGAACGGAGGACATCGTAAAAGTCACTGTCTCGCCCTGACTGGTTTGGCTCAGTGGATAGAGCGTCGGCCTGCGGACTGAAGGGTCCCAGGTTTGATTCTGGTCAAGGGCATGTACCTTGGTTGCGGGCACATCCCCAGTCGGGGGTGTGCAGGAGGCAGCTGATCAATGTTTCTCTCTCATCAATGTTTCTAGCTCTCTATCCCTCTCCCTTCCTCTCTGTAAAAAATCAATAAAATAATTTTTAAAATTTTTTTTTAAAAAGTCACTGTCTCGTGTGCTCCGCAGAGGCAAATCCTTTCAACTCTTGTAGCTTTTCCTGCGACAGGAACCTCCATGTTTCTAAACCAGAAGCTGCTAGTCCTTTATGTGTTTAGACATTTCTGTGGACTTCCAGATAAAGTCAGTGAGAACTTTATCTCCAAACAACCCCGCCACCTCCCCCCCCCAAGTCCACGTGACGACCTCCCTAATTAGGATTACATCACCTGTCCGGTGCTGGCTGCTCTGCTACTTGTTATTGCATACAACTCTGCCTCCGTTCTTACACAGTAATTTTTCTTTTGAGTTAATACCTAGTCTTTTTTCTTTTCTTTTTTTGCCTTAGTGTTTTCCTTATGCCTAGAATTTTACTAACTCATACCTAATTTTTCCCCAAGGCTCTAACATCTTTGCCACATGCCTATTGATAACATTTTCCAAAGGCTCAGACACATTCTATTTAATTCCTGGAGACCTCTCTCCAGAGCCCCCCCCCCCCCTCCAATCCAGACTGATTGCTTCGAGCCCATGCATAGCTGTCATCTTGTGCTTTCTCTAGTCATCCTGCTGACTCTGCCTTTCCCCTGTGCTGGAGTCCGTTTCCTGGAATCTGTGCTGACCCCCTCCTTGGTCTGCTCTCTCGTTTTACTGAAGTCAGCCCTCTAGTAGCTTCCTGGGAAGGGTCCATATCTGAAGTGTGTTTACTCTCACTCTGATAGTTTGGCAGGGTATAGAATTCTAGGTTGGAAATACTTTTCCTTCAAGGTATTTGAAGTCACAGGTTTTTTGTTTGTTTTTTCCTTCAGCTGCCAAGGCGGCAGTTGAAAACTCTAAAGCCGTACTAATTCATAACGATTTGTATGGGATATATTTGTTCTCTGAGAAAGCGTTTAGGATCTTATCTTTATCCTCAGTGTTGCCAAGTGTCACAATACACCTCGATGTGGACCTTTCTACCCAGGGATCTACACACACAGTTGTCTTTTTCATCCCAGAGGCTCATGTCCATCTACTTGGGAGTTTTTTTGTTTGTTTGTGTGGTTTTTTTTATTTTTTTTAAAAAGTCACTGTCTCGTGTGCTCCGCAGAGGCAAATCCTTTCAACTCTTGTAGCCTTTCCTGCGACAGGAACCTCCATGTTTCTAAACCAGAAGCTGCTAGTCCTTTATGTGTTTAGACATTTCTGTGGACTTCCAGATAAAGTCAGTGAGAACTTTATCTCCAAACAACCCCGCCACCTCCCCCCCCCAAGTCCACGTGACCTCCCTACGCATTAGGATTACATCACCTGTCCGGTGCTGGCTGCTCTGCTACTTGTTATTGCATACAACTCTGCCTCCGTTCTTACACAGTAATTTCTTTTTCTTTTGAGTTAATACCTAGTCTTTTTTCTTTTCTTTTTTTGCCTTAGTGTTTTCCTTATGCCTAGAATTTTACTAACTCATACCTAATTTTTCCCCAAGGCTCTAACATCTTTGCCACATGCCTATTGATAACATTTTCCAAAGGCTCAGACACATTCTATTTAATTCCTGGAGACCTCTC